GCCGAGGGCCACGGGGCAGACCCAGAAGTGATGCGACACGACTTGACCTGCCAGACCTCGTTGTCTTGGAATCCTGGTTCCTGTAGTGAGCCTCCGTTACATCTCTTTGTGTTTTCATGAGTGACCGCTGCATTGCTCGATTGCGTTCGGTTCCGGATGGTTCCACTTGTTCTTAACTTTTTGTTCACCGTTGATGAATTTCGTAAAGCTTTTCAGGAGTTCGTTTTGGTTCGGCTAATGCCACCACAACAAAGTCTACTTTGACGAGCGGAGCCCCTTGTCCTATTATTATATGGACGCTTTTTTTACGAGGAATGGAAAGTGCATTGCTACATGGCCATACAGAGTGGCTGCTCGCGCAAAGTTAATTCCACAAAGTGCGTCCTGAGACGCTCGAGCGATCCGAAAAAGGTTCATACGAAGGTCCTCTGATGAAATGTCGAGCGAGCCAACCAAAATTTGTGAGTTGCCAGGTCAAATCGCGCGCGTCCGCTTTAGGTCGCCCAGCTGGACGAGCGTGTACGGCGCCCGGTCCGCCGGCACCCGATATGGGTTGCTTTCTTCATGCTCGGCAAACCCATGGCAACGCTCTAATGGGATCTTTCCATTGGCCAGCGGCTAGGAAATTTTACATGTTGACTATAGAAATATATGAATTTCACTTTCCATTGGGCCCACTTTACACCAGGGATCTAGCCGATACCGAAACGTGCGGAAACGGAAACCTGTGGAAATAGGTTTCTTCCCACTTTCCGCAGAGAGCCTAGAATGACAAAAGTGCGGAAAGAGAATCCGCATTTCCGCGTTTGCAGTACCGCGGAAAGTCCAAAACAGATTCCACGCCTGCGTTTGCCATTTACATACGTGCGTTTACTTCAATACTGATATTACTTTAGGGTACATGTTGACATGGCCATACTGCAAGCGAAGCTGTCTCAAGCGAGCCTCCTCATTGATATGACCTCCAAATCCCATTTGATGATTTCCCCGCCCTCCCTCCCACACACCACAACATGACCCCAATTTGCTATTACTATCCAATTGGCTAAAAACCCAATCCCCCCTACACCCCCCATTCCCCCCTACACCGGACTTTGGATGCCGGGAGTGTTTTTTGAATTCCTCTTGTATGATTTCCCACACCCCACCCCACCCCCACACACACAATCAATCCAGCTACACACACGACGGAAGATCAGTTACCGCCCAGTCCTATGTTTTGTCCCGGCGCATTGAAAGCAGGAAAACACGACCTGGCTAGGTCGCTGCTGCTTTCCACGGGGCTCCAAAAGGGCCCTTCACAGCTTGCCGTTTGTCTCGGCAACAGCAGCCGCTTCGCCCTCCCCATCCGGAAGTGGGTGCGCGGAAATGAAGTGCTCCGCCTGCAAGCAAAGCAAAGAGGATATGCACCAGGAACACACCGCAGAAACGGGAGAGAGAAATCCCCCAGGAGATCTCAAGGACCTCACGTACATGGACCCTTAACGCATTTGCTGCCTATTTTCCTCGACACTGTACGTATCATCATGGCATCATAGCACGTCTACGAATTCAGGAACCAGGGCCATGGCTTCAGTCAACGCCAGTAATAAGTGTTTTGACCGACAATCCAACGATAAACGCTCCCTTCGCAGATGATGAAGCAGGCGAATCAGGGCTTGGATGCCCCCGGGTTGCTTCCCGGATACGCAAGCAGCCGGATAGAATCCAGCCCGCATCAGGCGCTCACTGTCGTACATACGTATCAATATCTCCCGGCTCCGCTTGCCTGGTTCCTGTTTTACTTTATTGCTAAACTCCCAAGTGCCATATCGCCCGTGACCCACCTCCAGCGCTGCCATGCAACCCGACCCAGCCGCAGTAATGGCTTGTCGCCACTTCTTGTCCTGCACGTCACCAGCTGCGAAAACACCTGTAGAAAGAGAGCGCCCCCGCATGGAACAATCAGTCAGCAAATTGAGAGTTGCGGGGACGGAAGGTTCCCAGACTGGTAGTATGCACATCCTCATAAACGCGGACGCACATACGCGCAACGATTCACAGCGTATTGAACCACCATGCGAACGACCGGACTACACAACTCAGCCCAAGCTCACAAAAAACCCTCTAATTAATCTAAAGCCCATGCGCGCACAATGATGCAATTTCCAAAAGACCTCTGCTTTCCTCTGTTGTAAGCTCCCCATGCACTCACCGGGAATGTTGGTGGTGGTGCTGCCGGGAGTAGTCGCGATGTATCCGTCCTCATCCAGAGTCAGCTGACCACTCAGAAAGGCAGTGGCGGGCTGATGACCGATGGCGAAGAACAGCCCAGCCAGTTCCAGGTCACGCACCTCATTCGTTACTACGTTGCGCAGCTGCGCAGGTGGGGATGGCGACGGGCACATGACAGGCGATGAGATGATGAGGAGATAAAATGCAAAGGACGTTGAGGGAAAGGGGGTTACAGGTCGAGAGGGTTGTCACACAGGGTAAGAGATCATGTAATTACCCGTGTTAATGTGGATAGACCTATCTTTGCACTGCCGTACGCCTCCACAATAAAATCCCGATTCACTACCGTACCTTAACTCCTCCCAGCAAACCCCGCGCGCTGCCGTACGCCTCCTCTACGACGCTGTTCCAGAGGACCTCGATCTTGGGATTGTCAAATGCGCGTTTCTGCATAATCTTGCTAGCGCGGAATGTATCTCGCCTGAGGGCCGAGAAAACGTGTAGCAATTTCAATAATCTTCCTTACTGTTGGAATGCTTTGTGAATTCTGAAGCTCACATAAACAAAATCTGGGTCCGGGTGTCCAAGCATGGCGTGTGGTAACTATAGTAAACAGCAGGGGGCTGCATGGCTGGTCAAAGAAACGTCCGGTAAAGCCAATAAGGTGGGAAAGCTCCTCCCTGCCCACCCTGCCACATGGCTGGCTCCAAGGACTTGGGACTTTACCGGCCCCACCGTGGGGGGCCCCGAGGTGCGCTTTGCCCGGGCGGCACACCAAGCAAAACAGCAATTAAATAGAAACTCATCAAGACATGCGGTCCATGAAAAGGATGACCACGTAAGGATGATTCGATGTTCGGTTCAATACATGGACGTTGCTGCCGTGGCAATCTAATGAGTATCATGATCTGGCTCTCCTCCTCCTCCTTACCCACCCCACCTGTGAATGATATACACTTTGGAGCCGTACTTGCTACGTTGTGAAGGAACATTGAAATGCGCCACGGGACGACAAAAGGGCAAGCACCGGGCACGTTCAGCGAGGGTAAGGCTACCGTTAGGTGGGGTATGACCGATAACGATGGATGATATGGGGGCGGTTTGTCGAGGGCTTGCTGGGAAAGAGGGTAGCAGAAAAAGCACGCCTCTGCTGTAACATGTGCTTGTTGTAAACAAGATTGCGGAAGAGGCTATCACCTTATCATGACCCTAACGCAATCCCTTTCACGAGAACCTCTTAGCCGCATATTTCAAGACCTAAAAACCGCTTCGGAAGCTCCTCGTGGTGCGAACTGCTTCCTTGTGTGGAGAGGGATATAACCCAGTTCCCGACAAACTGGGAAGGCTAAGGGATGGGCGCCCACAAACGCATTTCATGCGCGAAACGTGTCCAAAGACGGGAAAACACGTTTCACTACCCGGATAAACGGACAGTACCTACGTCAGGAAGTTTGCCTCCTCCATGGCATGGCAGAATCGCCGCCACCAATTACTGCAATAGGCTTGTTGCGGAAGATAAGAGCGGCGCCGTCGCAAACAGCGCAGGCCGAAATGCCCTTGTTCCAGTAGCCACCCTCCTCGCCGCTGCCCGGAACTCCATCCGCTTCGCCACAGCACCCGTAGCGATAATGACCGTCTCAGCTTTCACCTCCTTTTCCGAGGTTCGTACGGTGAATGGCCGCTCCGAGAAATCGACGTTCTCGACCGTTTCGCTGAAAATCTTCATCCCGAACCGAGCGGACTGGTCACGGAAGCAATTTGTTAGCTCAACACCAAGAATGCCCTCAGAGAAACCTGCAAGTCATTGCGACCATGACCGGTAAAGGATATCATACTAAACCTCGGTGGATCGTATCGATTTGAACGCACCCGGAAAGTTTTCAACATCCGTTGTAGTCGTAGCTGACCCCCAGCAGCATTTCCATTCGCCATAAAGCCCTCGAAAAGGATTGGGCCCAGTTCTGCGCGCGCCGTGTAAATCGCAGCTGTATGGGCAGCAGGGCCCGAGCCAATAATGCATACTTTCGTGTAAAGTTGCGCAACCATCTTTGATGCGGTACTAGCGATGCCCCTTTGCGTCGGGTAAAGGAATCGACAGGCTGCCTCTTCAAGCAGACCCGGGGGCGGCGGTTGTAGGTATAGGCCTACGTGCCTGAAAGACAGGGCGGATGTGGCAAACCTTGACGACACCCAAAATAGATTTTCCAAAGAGTTCGAATTAGCCATAAATCTAATCAGCGCATCCGTGGTAAGACTACGACCCTGTTACTTCCCACTCATCTCGTCCTAAAGTATATCCCTGCTACAAAAAAGCAGTGCTACCGACAAATAGCAATATGGCAAGACGACGCCCGGACGGAAAGAATTATCCAAAGCACCTCCTACTTGGTGTAATACAGGATTCCGGCGTATACCTTTGTTGCAGTGTAGCGCACCTGCCCATTGCTGGTTATGACGAATATACAACCCCCGTTCATCCTCGGATGTGCACCTTACCACGTGATCACTTTAACGGCCTGTCTCAAGGACCCCTGCCACTTGGCAACAGGTAAAACGACCGTAGCCGGGCGCTGCACGCTCCGATATGTCGAACCGGTCTTCCCTCTTTTCCTGTTAAAGTCAAGGGCGAATCTCACGCCCATTTGTTAGGTAAACATCTCTCAACTGCAAATAGCGCCTGCGCCGTCCTCGGTTATTAAGGTTCCGCTTTTGGCGTCGTTGGCGCTGGGATGAACCTAAAAAGCTTAAACCAGATTATTTTGACGCTTATTGTAATAAAGCAAGCACCCCAAAACCAGTAAAAGCAAAAAATAAAATTGAGGAACCGATTAACACATCATCAAAACCACTGAGGTGTGAAATTTTCCCAGTTTGTAGCGATTTAGCAGCATGCAGCCGGCTGGATGCAGATCCCTTGATGCCCAGGGGCTAAATCTGTCAGCAGTGATTCTCTAGGCTTCCCGATTCCCCCCCCCCCACACACACACACACACACAAGCAGTGTGTTTGCCGTTTTCGTCTTTTTGTACATTGTAGATATCTCTATTGCTGCGGACTGTATGCGAACTGTATGTTATTCATTAGCTGGGCTGACACGCCACACACCCATCAGGCAAGTTAATAAACCTGACAGACGTGCTTATCCAGGTAATTTACAGGATCTTTGTAGACAACCGTCAACCTTCAACCAGTGTTACTCAACTGTCAACGAATACCGAACTCCAAGCCGATTTTGGTGGATGAAGTAGAAGTAGAAGTAGAAGTAGAAGTCAGGGCAATCAATAGACAAACATTCCAAAAGAATTTCCTAACAGCTAAAAGATTCTTCCTGCAAATGGCCTGATGGCCACATACACATGTCTCTGCCTACCATCGCCCACCCTCGGGCAGTAGGGTCATTCATCCATGTTACGTGCCTAAGCCATCTGAAGGATCCTTAGGCGCAAGGTCTTCCCAGTCAATCTAAGCAATATGTTTTTTTTCAAATGATCCATTGTCGACCTAGTCGTCCCCGATATCTATAATGAAACATATTAGGACCGATCTGACGATTTCAGGATTCCAAATATGTGCGAGGTCTCAGTATCAATTATAGTAGCTAGCCGCTGAAAGGGCCGCTCTCAATGCTTACGGATCGCCTCAGCGCGGCGGCTTCAAAGGCCCTAGTTCAAAAGTCATTATGCGATTTTCTCCAGATAGATTACGTGGACTTCACATCCGTACCATCCCCGCCGGCCACGCAGCTGCTCGCTACTTGCGAATGACCTGAAAATGGAAGTTCCGGCCCCACTTCTCTGAGCTACCCACCCCGAGCACTCCCAGATGGATCCAGAGCTCCGCCAGCGCCAGAGGTGGTTAGTTCGTTGGAAGTTGTTAGTTGCAGTTACATTGTGGAAGGAATGCGGAGATGGAAACGTAAATTCGGGCCAAGCAAGTGAGCAAGTAGACATAGCTCGAGCTACCTGGATATCCAAGTTGCTGCATGTGATGAACTAAGTAAAGAACGGAAAGGAGAGTCCAATTGTGCAGTCGTGCAATCGTACAAGTATATTTTTGCATCTGTACCAGAGGTCGGCAAATCGGTCTCTACGGCTGCGGGAGGGCAAAATTTCGGTCAGTAAACCTAGAAGTCAAACACAGAGTTCAAGTCCAGCGCGCGGCCCTACTCGCCGCAATAGAGGCTGCGAGGCAAACCACGTCTTATAGTCAAATTTTGGTCATTAGGGACCCGCAGCCCTACGGGGCCTTAGGCCGAATTTCGGCCGCGGGTACTGTGGTACGGACCCGCAGTACCCGCCTTATTTGCGACCTCTGATCCGTACCTCAAGATTCCTGGCGTATCGTATGGACCCCACGTACACGGGTTCAAAGCCAGTTGTCGAAATGACCTCCTCGACCAGCGCCTTATTTTCGGAGCTCCCCGCGAACATCATAGTTAGTTGCTGACCGTTGAGACTGGAGCCGTCACCCTGGGCCATCAGATTGGCGCCTGTGTGGGCGTGAGGACATGCGGGCGCGCGGATGCGAGGATGAGGAACGGAAACTGGAGTAGGAAAGGAATCGAAAATGAGAATGAAACTAGGAATGAGCATGGGAATAAGCATAAGTGCCAAAGTCAAAGTTTGTACTAACAGACTGCTTGCCGTACCCACCGATGGTGTTGAAGGCCTTGTACACAAATGTGTCGGGCAGCTCCTCGGCCAGGAGCTCGCCAGCTGTGTACATAGGTCCAAGCACACGTGTTTAGATAAGTGTGTGAATGCTAAAATTTTGCATAAGCATTTTATGGGGAGCGGCTCGTGTAGAGAGGAAGAGCGAGGGTCCTTTGTATGTCGTAATCGGCCAGCATGTGCTCGTAGCCCAGGAATTACTCCATATGTGTTATGGTGTTTATTTCTGGGTGTAGATGTATACCGCGCGCAATCTCGTAGACGGCATCGGATATATCACGTGAACCTCAACATTGCAAAGCGCACCTGACTTTCCAGTCCAACGGACCTCCAGGCCCGGATAGGGCGAAAGTGGATTCGTCGCATCAATCAAAACCTTGCCCTTGATATCAGCACCAAGGTCTGACGCAATGGCCTTGATTCCGGCATCGCTGTGCGCGCCTGCGCAAGTATCCGCGCAAAAAGATGTATGTAAAAAACGCTTTTTTTCATGCACAAAGCACTATAGAGCCATATAGAATCGGGTCAGACCTGGAACTGCGAGTACCACCACGTCGCTGCTTTTTACAGCTTCCGGAACAGTAAGCACTGAAACGTTTTCTAGTCCTGCCAAGTCGGCATACTTTGCGACATTTCTGACGCCGAATAGAACCGAGTGCTTCTTTGCTATGGCCTTGCCTAGCGTCTGCCCGACACTGCCAGCACCGATTATTCCGACTTTCAAAGTCATCCTTGTGTCATTACTGTGATAAAACAACAGGCGGTCATGACGATGCAACTCTTTAGTGGTGCGCCATTCGAATACTTTTAACATAAGGCCCGTGGCCTGGACCTTCGCTGAACGATGGCCGGTTGCCTTGTGGGCAGCGTCCAAGGGCCATTGCAAGCGTCAACGTCATTACATGTTCCGCACAAATGCGGGAAGCGTCTGGCAAAGCCGAGGGCCCATGGATGGTCCAAAGCCATGAATGTGGCGACGATGAGTCCTCTCCCGCCCGCTTGGCCTCGGTGCGCCAGAGCGCGATCTCCCAAAATCTAGCTATATGGGCCCTTCCGACGTAAGGTTATGCCGTAATAGTACCACCACTATGGAACGTTTTGCTTTCGCTCTTGGTTATGAAAGCGAGATGACCATGGCCCAGTCGCGTTCGGCAAGGCAACTACAACATCCGCCTGTTAACAATCTCAAAGGCATTAGGATATTGAAAGTAGAGGCAGGTTGGCTGTTGAACTCCACTAGGCTTGAAACTTCTCACTTAGGTTCTCTCGTAGTCTACAAAACTGTGCAAAAAATGTTGATGACATAAGTGAAAAAGGATTGCGAGAAGCGGGTGCGACCGCGGAGCGCCAGTGGAAACGAGGCCGTTGGCGGGCCGATAACAGGTAGTCCGGCCCAGCACAAAACCTTAACCAGGCCCGAATTTTTTTATAGTTTTGATTTCTGCTCGCCTCAGGTCTTTCGTATACTCATACTCTATCTCCTTTGACCGCTCACCTGCCAGGTTGTTGACACGTATCATAAAGTCAAGGGTTGCACGTTTTGGGTTCGTACGGGTTTGTTACCATGAGTGTGAAGGAGGCTACGGGACACGCGCTCAAGAGTTTACCTTGGAAGGAGCGCGCACGATATTTGGGCCTGCATTATGGACCAGGTACAACTTTCGAATCGTGCACAGATGAGTTGTTTACATCAGGCCAGAAGGCGCTCTTCTCGCTGGTTAATAAGCTTAAGCGACAAGGGCTTTTTGTCCCAGCTGTTGCGGTGAAAGCGTTTGATGCCCAGGTTCTGTCTATTCTGTCGTACGGGGTACAGGTTTGGGGCCCGTTAAGGGTTCTGGACATCCTGGAGCGCGGTTACCCTAACAGCCAGGAACGATCGTGTTATTTTGAGATTGCACTGCAAGACAGGATGGTGGAACTGCAGAAGAACTTCCTGAAGCAGTTGAGTGGTGCTGGCTTGCCAACAAATCGGCTACTATTCAGAGAGTTGGGTCAATACCCTTTGCAAGTGCATTGGGCAAACCTGATTTTTCGTTTTTGGAACAGGTTGGTTGAGGCAAAAGGTTCTGTGTACCACCATTGCTTTCGGGAGGAACTGCGGTTGGCATTATCATCTGGCATGACGTATGATGGATGGGGAGCGAAAGTCCTGAAGATAACGTGCGGACGGGTGTGGACGACTCAGGCGACATTGAGGTCAAAGTTGATGCTCTGGCGACATGTTCACTAGATGTAGGCCAGTTGATCTGTGAACTTCGGAACCGATTTGATGATGACTGGGAAAGTGAGCGGTTGACAGTGGATCCAGCTTTGTTTGTTTCAGATAATAGGCAACCAGGGGTAAAGATGTGCCGCTATAAGCATTGGATGGGTTTGCCCAAGCATGGCAGCGGCTATATCTCGCCAAAACAGCACGTCACGCTGATGCGCTTCAGGATGTGTGTTTGGCCTTTGGCGGTTAATCGACCGCACGGTAGAGAACGGTCTGCCCGGTGGTGCCGGGTCTGTGGGAACCGGCAAGCTGTTGAAGATGAATGTCATGTGCTGCTAGATTGTCCTGCGTATGCGAATATCCGTTTGAAGCTTTGGGACCTGGGGGTTACTCCTGGGGACCGCATGATCGAGATTATGGGCGTCAAGGATCAACGCGGGTTAGCGCGCGTCTTGGACGACATTAGAAGATGCAGGTTGCAGTACGTTGAAGATTAATCAATCTGATATTGTTGGGTATTAGCATTTTTTCTTTTTTGAGTTCCTGTTTCCAGTTTGGCGGTTCATGAGCCTTTTGGCTCGTCTGGACCGTACAAGCTTGAAGCTTGTAAACGTAAACGTAAACGTAAACGTCAAGGGAAAGAACTGTTTTTCTGCATAAGATAGCACGTGTTTTGAAGTGCAAATTGAACCATTCTGTCGTATGGCGTCCAGGTGTGGGGACCGCAGTTTATTCTCCAGGTCGTTGAACGACCAACCGACGCACATAGCCGGTCTTGCTACTTCGACGGTCTCTAGAAAATCGCATGGTCGAGCTGCAACGCACGCTTCTGAATCTTCTCTCTGGGTTAGGGAGGATACCGTATAATCGTGTGTTGTTTAGGGGGCTTGGTCAATGGCCCCTCAACCTTCACCGGGCCTCACTTAATAACCGTTTTGGAACAGGGTTATCCTTGCGAAAGGGGACTGTGTTTCACAATGGTTTGCGACGAGGAGATGCGTCTTGCAGTGCGTTCTGATTATGCTGCCACAAACTGGGGTGCCATGATCCTAAGAGATCTCAGGTGCTAAATGCACTTCCCGGCGCTGCACCCGGACCTGGATGAAGAGGGGAAGATCAATTTCAATCGTCGAACCTGTTTAACAGATCTGTTATGGAAACGTTGGAGGAGCGATTTGATGATGACTGGCATGTCTTATTACTACACCCCGGGAATTTGTGTCGGATAACCGTAAACCAGGGGTTATATAATGTACCGGCATATCCATACCCATTGGAACGCCGAAACACACAACGTGCTACATCCCTGCGAAGTCATACTTGTCACTGCTGCGGTTTCGCTCAGGGACATGGAGGTTAGCCCAACCGGTGGTCGGTTGCGCCAAGGGCGCTGGTGTAGGGTCTGTGGCAACAATAATGCAGTAGAAGATGAGTTCCACATGTTTCTAGAGTGTCACGCTTACAACGACCTGCGGGAAGGGCTTCTCAACCCCTAGGTGTAACGCCAGGCTGATATAAAGGCCGTGCCTAATATGAGGTTTGTCATGGAGATAGATGATCAGCGTGGACTTGCGCAGACCGTACACAACACTGATAGCCGAGTAGTAAGCCTGAGGTCGCTTACCCTATTTACGGTTTTCTCTCGCAGATGGAGTTCATAAAACATTTTCCATTTCCGTTTTTATTTCTTCCTTCTTTTCGGCTACGCTAGAACTCGCGGTCCATGAGCCACCTGGCGCGTCTGGGCCTTACGAGCTCTCGCGAGCTTGTAACATAAGATTGTAACATAACATAACATGACCTCAATTTATTGACTTAATACTGGGTTATCATTGATTTACAAGTAAACAGCCCGCTACTTTTCTTTTCACCGACTTCCATCGACCCTTCCTATAGCCTGACTAAGCCAATCCGTGCTTGCACGACTTTGCTGGCGCTCATCGCCCATTGGTTCGCAGGTATAACGCAATAAAATGAAGGCTGCATTCAAACGCTTGTTTGCGAAAGAGCGCTCGGAAATGTTGAATGTGCTGCCTTCAAACCCGACGCAATGCACACCGTCGGAGTCATCTACATCAAGAACTCCTTCAGCATCCCAGGCGTCACATACAACGCATACCTGCGCTCAAGCTAACGCAACCAGCACACGCGACGTCGAGGATGCCAACAGCTCCTCCAATAAACCCGGCGCTTTAGCTTCTAAATTCCAAAAAGCAACACCGGTCCTTACTTCATGCCCAGCACCACTTCGCAAATCGCATACGCGGCCCTTGAACTTGGAGCGCGAGGAGCGGCTCTCCGAGGGCGGTTCCCCGCATCAGAGCAGCTCCTTCAAAAACGCGACTTCTCCTTCTTCTTCTTCTCCATGCCCGCCTCCTCTCTCCGTGCAAGTCCACTTACCAGTCGCCGCACGCGTGCAGATGGACGAGCTCCCATGCGTTGACCATCTCGCCGCATCAGACTGGACGCGCACGCTCACCGGAATCATCAAGTCCGTTGCACAGGGTCACGGAGCCATGGGCTATCCCAGCGCCGCTGCTAAAAACCGCCCGCATGGCCCCGAAACCAGCTTGCGGCCCAGCACTTCCGGCATCCGGCGTCGCCAAAGCTCTGCTATGGGTTATGGCGGCGCCTTGACCAACAGCGCTATGGATGCAGCGCTGCTATTGCAGACCACTCAAAGCTGCTCCATGACTCCTGCGTCTGCTTCGAGTGAAAGGAGTTGTAGCGGTGTTGCGGAAGGTTAGTTAAGAGGCGGGAGCTATATGCTTCCTGTCTCTTAAGAAGAAGGCGGCCTTGAAGGGAGGAATTTGAATTTGAATTTGGCGGGCGCGCGCCGCAGCGAAGATCGAAATACGTTTTTCAGCGGGAATGTGACGGTCTGTTCCCTGACTTCGGTCTGTCCCATCCACTACCTACCCGCTTCGCTGCCGTCGCTTCCCGCCTTCCTTCGCCTGCATCCTGCAAATCAACTTCCCCTGAACCTGGTTACCCTGCTTCGAATGCATGCCGTCCGCCACTATTACCACTCCAGATCCAAGTCCGCCTTTTTTGCTGCTTCTCATCCTCCTCCTCTATCCTGCTCCTCCTACATTATCTTTTGTCCTGCTGCTCCTACATCCTCCCCTATTCGCCCTCTGCAGTAGATAGCTTCTTGGATGTCGGCGCCGCTGGCAACACCACCACCGCAAACGGCTGCTGCGTTGCCCACACTTTATCTTCTCCATGTCCTACTGCCGTACTGCCCAACGTGGCTCCAGCGGCGCTGCTGGCGGAGGCTGCCAAGGCGGGCATCAGCCTGGAAGTGGACCTGGACAGCCAAGTGGTCCTCTCCACGGGACCGCCGTTGGGCCGGGGCTCTTCGGGGACGGTGCTCAAGGCCGTGTATAACGGCCAACCCTGCGCCGTCAAGGTGGGCGGAAACCATGGAGGGATCAGGGAACATGTGTATCTGTATGTCTGTGTGTCCCTTCGATTGTTTGTTCCTTCGCGTAAAAGGGTTAAGAGTGTTACGAGGGGTGTGGGGGGAGTTGGGGTTGGGGGGTGGTTTGGGGGTATGGTATCGAGGGAGGGGGGAAAGGATGGAGAGAGGACTGCAGGGGGAGCTTGCACTAGGGCCGCTACAACACACTGACACCGCTCAATTCCCTACCGTCCCCGACCACACACACACCTACCCACCTTTCCCTGCCTTACCCTCCCCTGCCTACCCCACCCCTGGTAGATGCTGCCTCAGGACCTCCTCTTTGGGTTGGGTAGCGCCGAGCTACACACTTTTGTCCAGGAGGTGGTGGTGATGACCTCCCTTCGCCACCCCAACATCGTGCCCCTGCTGGGGGCCAGTCTGCAGCCGCCCCACGTGTTCCTGCTGGCGGAGCTCTGTGAGACCAACCTGGACGCGTGGATCCACCAAAGGGGAAGAAATGGAGCTGCACCACAAGCACACGCGGGAGTGCCGCGAGTATCTGGGGGATTGTGGGAACTGAAGGGAGGAGCACCACCAGCACCTGCAGCCGCCGTTGGGGCCGGAGGCGCTCCTGGCGCCAATGGGGTGTTGCCTTCTGGTACTGGATTCGGATCTGGATCTGGATCTGGATCTTGTTCGCCAGAGTGGCACCGAGGCGGTGGCACCGAGGCAGCCGCCATAAGCACCGGACCTGCGGTGGCTACCGGGTCGTGTGGTGGCTCCGGAACCATACCCTGGTCCGCGTGGGCGAACAAGCCCGGTGCTGTAGTAGGAGGTGGAGGTGGAGGAGGTGGAGGTGGGGACCGCGTGAGTGCTCGTCGGATCCTTGAAGTGGCTCTGGATCTGGCGCGGGGACTGGAGTACCTCCACGGACGGAATCCGGCCGTTGTGCATAGAGGTGTGTGTGTATGGATGCATGTATTGTATGTACGTGTGGGTACGTGTGGGTATGGGAAGGCATGGGCCGGGAGGAGGAGGTTACGGGACGGATAGCGGGTAGCGGTGAAGGGGTTTATACCTCTAAAGAGTCAGCGAACTTCCCTTCTCTCTCTCTTTCTCTCTTTCTCTCCCTCGTTTTTTCGTCCATTCATTTTTAATTTCAAATTTGTACGGGCGTTTCAGTGGATCCGACTGCGTCATCCACGTCATCGCCGCATCTCCCTCTCCCTTTCACTGCCCATTCCCCTTTTGGTAGACCTGAAGCCGGCGAACGTGCTGATTGATGCCGACGGCACAGCCAAGGTGCGTAAGGAGAGGGGAAAAGGGAAAGGGTTTTTGGGTGTATAGAGGATATACCTATGGCAACCAGGCGCTTAAAATCGTAGCTGCCGTTGTTTGGCACGATGCTTTTGCGATTTTTCATGTCGCTGACTTCTTCGCTGTCTGTGTTGCATGTGTATTCTTTTTTATACGTGTTGCCAGATTAGTGACTTTGGCTTGGCCCGGGTAGCGACCTCAGCGGCAATCCGCACCAAGGCACCCGAGGTGGGCTCTATCGGCTATATGGCACCAGGTGGGGCTGGCGGGCTGGGGGTTGGGGGGGTTTAGGGGGGTGTTGGGCCGGGGAGATAGGTGCGAGTGTGGATGTGTGTTTAAGATGGGGAACTGGTGCCGGGGTGAGAGTGATCGAGGTGTATGTATTGCAGGTTGTCTGCCCCCACACAAACCGTCAGTTTGTCAGTTTGTCAGTTATTGTTCCAACTGGCCCAATCAACATTTTGCAGAATGTTTCACGTCTGAGGACGGGTTGCTAACCGACAAGTGTGACACGGTACGGGGGGAGGGGATGGATGAAGATGCGGTTGGCAGGATTATTTGTTATTTGTTATCAATCACGATGCGAATTTGTTCTTACAAGAGTGAAGTGTGAAGTAATAAATAGTAACGCTTAATGATATAACAGTGCTTTTTATAATATTATTAAAAGTAATATATGTTACAATTAAACAATAGCTGCCATTAGCACCCAATAAGTTGCCTTCCCTCTAGTTCTCTTGTCCCTCCTCCCACGCCGCCTTCCTTGTCGTCTTACACAGTGGTCCCTGGGGGTCATTCTTTGGGAGATGGTCACTCGGAAGCGGCCTTTCCAGGTGCGTGATGATGGGTGATGATGGGTGATGTGGGCGGATGTAGAATGACGGAATAGATGATGATGGGTGTATGCTCATTACGCGTCTAGTAATGAGCAAGATAGGACAGGTGGGAGATGAGTTAGGTAGGGATGTGCTAATTGGGGAGGGAAAGCAAAGCTGGGGCCAAATAATGGTGAACCCCGCAGCATGACGCGGAGTGCCCTCAAGCTGCCTGCCACACCATACAGTCAGTTTTTCTCGAAGGAAGTAAAGCGGGCAGGCAAGCGCCCGCTAAGTGGTCCGGACATGTCACTTGCATGTCAATTGTCTTTTTCTTAGTCTTCCGACGGAAAAGCTCTTAGCTACTACATAGCCAATAACCAATAACCAATAACCAACTAACGAACTAACTACCTAACCACCTGCAGGGTCTCACCCTAACGCAATACTATCGCGAGGTGGTTGTCCGCAAGTCCCGACTGCCCATTCCCCAGGACGACGGCACGTGTCCTCTAGCCCTTAGACGGCTCATCAGCAGCTGCTGGTGCGACTGTCCCGAGGAGCGACCCGCGTGTGCACATATCGTAGCAGAACTCACTAGGATGCTCAAGTATTGCCCACAGGAGTACGACAGATAGAGATTGCGGAAGAGGGAAGTGGAATGTGGGAAAATGTAATCCCGTAATGGCCCCCTCGGCATTCGACAGTGAGCAGGACTGAGGCGTTTGCTCAAATACAAGACAACGGTCATGGTTGCTGCTGTTGCTGCTGTTGCTGCTGTTGCTGCTGTTGCTGCTGCTGCTGATGATGATGATGATGATGAGGAGGAGGAGGATGACGAGGAAGAGGAGGAGGAGGATGGCAATGATGATGATGATGCTTGCAAAATGCAGTGTGGATGCGCCAATGTCCTTCGCGGTCTTTTCATTAATACATTCTTCAGCGTGGAAAATCTTCAGAGCCTGTGCGCAGAGGGATTAGCTGTTTTAGTTCCACCCATTTATTATCGCAGTCGTTATTCGGAAATTTTACTCGAACTCGCTAGGAAATACATCTGGTGCTCTTGAGTGGTGTCGTACCTACCGTACTTGGCCAGCATTTGGGTCGGGGGAAAGGCAAGCTTTTACGATTTGCAGAAATGCAAAACAAAAGTTAACTGCCGACGTTCAGAACATGAGCGGGGCACTTGGTCATGCAGCGTTACTGCCAGGGAAATGAGCGTGTCTGTCTGTCTGTCCGTCTGTAGAAGTGCGAGGGCGATGCAGTTCGGTCGGTGTAGGGGGTTACGGCTGTCAAGAGAGGCGAGGCAGGGAGAGAGAAAGGAGGTATACGATTAGGGGTGGTGGTGTAGCCTGATTAGAAATATATCAGGAGCAGAGAGAGAGCACGGCTACGGGGTAGCTTATCACATGAGCAGTTCCATGTTTACTTCTCGGCATTTTTAGCTCGGTGTTTGGGCCTCCTTGTACGACTGATGAGCTTCCTGAATCCTCTGCCCGTACGACTGGTATACGGCCTGGAGCGAACAACCGATACGAGTGATCTACTGCCTGAACCGGACTGCCCGTACGGCCTGGAGCGGACTACCCGTACGACTGGCGTACGGCCTTCTTGCCGTTGAGATGGGGTTTAGCTGATTTATCAATTTGTAACAGGTTGTCGATTGGCAGTGGTACGTGATTGGGTTACGCCTCTTGTATGAATATAGGTGTCGCGCGTTAGCATGTGCCAATGTATGTATGTATGTATGCATGTATGTATGCATGTATGACTTAGATTACACTGTGGGCCGGGAAAGCCGGGAGCCGAAGCCGAAACACAGCACACGGGTCGGTTAGTGTTGTGTGCTCCCGACCCCGACTCAGACTGCCATGCATGTATGACGTTGTTTACACTGTGGGCTGAAAAGCCGGGGGCCCAGGGCCGGAACACAGCGCGGGGGCCGGATGCACACGGCTGGTTAGTCTCGTGCACTCCGCCCCCCCCGGATCAGGCCGCACGGGAAACGACGGCCGGCACACAAAATATGTATGTATGTACGAATATCCGTCAATGTCGCCATGGCAAGTCTCGGGTGCAGGAAGATGGGGGGAGAGACCCCGCCGCCTCTCGCGCCTCCCCGACGGCACCAAGGTGCCTTAAAACAGGGCATGTGCGGAAAGCGCTACTGCGGCTGGCCGGATAAGGGTTAGTGATGATGATATTGATGGTTGCGGTGGTGGCTTTGTTTAGCTTTTTTAATTAATGTCCGAATGAATTTTGACCATGGCGGCTTTACGCACGCGCCTGTTGACCAGCTGTGCGACACCGCCTCCGTCGCTTGTCAGCACGTCTGCTACATGCCTTGCCGCTGTTGAAGGTTTTGTTGGTGATGATGTCGCTGTTTTGGAGAAGTTACACTGTGGCGCGTTGCATTGGGGGTTCTTTTGGGATGCGCCCCGTATACCTCATTTCGTGGCAGGAACCCAGAAACCAGATTGACAACATGGCCGTGGTAGGGCATGTCACCAACCTGGGCCTTTCGAAAAAATGTTTGCGCGAACACCCGAACTCGGAGTGGAAGTCTTTCCGGTAGATGGTCGGTTTGTAACGGCTCGGGTTCGGCTTCAGTAGTGTCTTACATAATTATTACCCGCTGTTTACGCAGTTTTGATTTTTTTGGATATCGCACGTTATAGAACAAGGTTGAGTACGGTTGTCAGTTTTGCGCGGTATGGCTTCGGGTTCCCTGAGAAGTTGCGCGCTTTCAAATCCCACTGTGACAGGATTGAGCCAATTTTTGATTCCTTCCATCGCTTTTAGGCAGCGGAGCTCTCGGTTATGATGCCTTGTAAAGACAATGCTTCTGCAGGCAGATTTTTTTGCTATGCATCATTTGTTGTTATAGACAGCGGGTGAGATTCTGGGCATCCACAGTACACTTCCTCGACTGGCAAGCCCTGTGCAGCTCTATCTTAGCTACAGACTGGTTACCAGGGAAACACCAATGCACGGCTTGTGCTAAACGTTTTTTCAAGGTGAAGGGGCACGGGCAGCCATATCAAACAACGAAGGCCGCTGTTTCCTAACTGTACGCCTGCAACACTCACCTGGTGGGCTCTGTAACCATGAGTCAGCATTTTCAAACTATACATGTTTTTTTAGGTTCTAAAATGTGTATTTTCTCGGTGCTATGCTTGGCAGGACTTTGCAATTGGTAATCAGGGCTATGCCCAAGGTTACAGTTTAACTTTGAGCTGCAGGCCACTACATGTTATCAATTGTAAAGTTAACTTGCTTCTTTGGTCTACAAGGGCAGGGCGGAACAAGGGGTGAGGTAACGATGCCGCTTCGACGAAACCGCAACAATGGTAACTCCTATGTTTATCGATACCAGACTATACCAAGCTTTACACCACAGTGTGTGGTAAGCGGTCATACCCAAAGCGACACAGCATGTTGCTTTTGGCATTCTATCTGGAACACCGTGGCCGTACAATCATGCACCAAAGAAATAAGAGGAAGAGGACCGTTTCTAAGGTACCGGAAACTCTACTATGCTGATTTTATGCCACGAGCCTCCATGGTCCTCTGCGTGAAACACAAGCTGAAGCTCCAGGCATACGCACAGAAACAGCAGAGATTAACATATGAGAAGCGCAATATATCTGGAATGGTTAGCATTGTGTGAAATTTAATCGTCCGCTAGAACCCTGCCTGCACAGTTGCACGTAGCTAGGGCAATGTTCAGGGCGAGTCGACAGCGACAAAATGAACAGCATCGAGCGCAGGTGATAAAGCTCGCGTACATGTATATCATCTTGATTGTTTCTTTGAACGTGGCTCCATATTGGTTGGTGGCAGGACCTGCTCCCCAATGCAGCAGTCGTGTATGCTTTGGTGCAGCATGTGGAGGAGACGTTTGAATATCTGCGCTCAGAAGATAGGCTTTCTATACCGAGCGGAAACGTGATGGTCGCACTGTCGTCCGTGGGCCAGCTGCTGGGCCTGGTCGAAGGCGACATAGGTAGGCATGGGCCAAGGAAACCGTGCTGTTCACGTTTTGAAATCTCGTAAATGTTGTTTCTTAAATTCTCGGTCTGAGAGAAAACCATCCGGTCTTCGGGTTCGCCCAGCCTCGTCCGCGCACAGGAGGCTGCCGTCTGCAGCGGATGCAAGCTTCCGAACGCTTCA